AAGCCCGGGAAATTCAAATCCCGGGCTTCATTAGCAAGTGCGGTATGCATACATTACCCTCCTAGTTCGAACTAGGAGGGTAGTGTAGACATACCCCTAGATAGTATCATGAGCTTTTGTGGGCACAAGCCTCTTCTTCCGGTGAATGGAGCACCTTGTTTAATGAGGCTAATAAAGTAGGCTGTAAATGCTAAATACTTAAATTTGATGTCATTGGGGTGTTGAATGTAGCAGCCTATCCAGTTCAGACCTTTGTTCAAATCTTTATTAAAAGGTGTTGAATTTGCAGAACGAGGTAAGTTCCGCAGCTTCTCTTTCCAGCTGATTTTTGAAATTTTTAAATTGAAACCCCTCAAGTGCATTATTGACAATCAACAGTCTATCCTGGAAAATGGTCCCTCACTCTCACAGATCTTGGGGGATAGGCCAATCCTCACCTACAGACAACCCCTAACTTGAAACAAATTCATTGAAACCACACAGCACATCTCAATCATACTCACCCAGGAACCCACCCCTGCAATAAACTCCAGTGTCAACTCTGTCCACATATCTATATAAGTGATATCACCACAAGACCTAACCACATAAGCCACCACATCAGAGGTTCATACAACTATACATCCACTAGTATGATATATGCCATCAAGTGCCAGTAATGCTCCTCTGCCATGTATACTGGCCAAACTGGACAGTCTCTATGACAAAGGATTAATGGACACAAATCAGATATTCGAAATAGTAACACACAGAAACATGTTGGAGAATATTTTAACCTGCCCTGATACTCATTAATGGATCTAAAAGTGACTATGCTATTACAAAGCAATTTTAAAAAACAGCTGGAAAGAGAAACTGCAGAATTTGTCTTCATCTGCAAATTTGACACCTTTAATCAAGGTTTGAACAAAGACCTGAACTGGATAGGCCGCTACATTCAACACCCTAATGACATCAAAAGTTAAGTATTCAGCACTTACCGCCCACTCTATTAGCCTAATTGAACATGGACACTCTAAGGGTATGTCTACACTACAAAGTTAATTCGAACTAACGGATGTTAGTTCGAATTAACTTTGATAGGCGCTACACTAGCGCTCTGCTAGTTCAAACTTAATTCGAACTAGCGGAGCGCTTAGTTTGAACTAGGTAAACCTCATTCAACGAGGACTAAGCCTAGTTCGAACTTACTAGTTCAAATTAAGGGGTATGTAGCCCCTTAATTCGAAATAGTGGGAGGTTAGCCCTCCCCAGCTTTCCCTGGTGGCCACTCTGGCCAACACCAAGAAAACTCTATTGCCCCCCTCCTGGCCCCGGATCCCTTAAAGGGGCACGTGCTGGCTATGGTGCCCGTGCCAGGTGCAAGCCTGCCAAGGGAGCCGGGCCCGGGTGCAACCCTGCCAGCACCCAGCTAGCAGACCCTGCACCTGGCACGGCTCAAGACAGCCACCCGATGCCTCCCAGAGCTCCCCCTCTTCCTGGGACCAGGCTGGCGGCTCCCGGGAGCTTGCCCGGGACTGCAAGAGGCGGGCGCCCGCCTGGTCTAGTGCGGACATCGTGCACCTCGTCCACGACCTCCGCACTAGGCACAGGAAAGTGGCCGTGTTGGGCAGGGGAGCTGCCAGCCTGGCCACCCAGGAGCAGGGT